TCTCTCTCTCTCTCTTGCTCTCTATCACACTCTCTCACACTCACCTGACTGACACTGACACGGAATCATTAACTGGCGCACAGGTCCTACTGTCGCTTCGAGATTCGAACACCAGCTGCTGCTCCTGCCGAAGCGGCCAAGGACTTGCACAGCGTATGCTGGCACTCCTGGAGCGCTCCAGAGTCTGTCCGCAGCCTGGGATGAACGAACTTAACAGCGTTTTGAACCTCTTGTGATGCTTCCTGGATTTGGGAGAGCAGGGATGGGAGGCAATGGCACCGAGAGCACAGCCTGTCGAAAGTACGCTGAATTGCCAGACCGTTCCTGAGCATCGCTTAGAAGCCTTCAAAACCCCCCGGCTTTCGGGCCACAGCCGAGCCGCTGCTGGAAGATGCGGACACTTTCCTTATCGGAGGACACTCTCGCACTTGCACTGGCCTGAAAGCCTCAAGGACCTCGCAGCCTCGAGCCGACCCCGGCCTTGGCTGGAGCGACTGCTTCGCGCGGACGCTCCACCAGGAGATACCATTTGGCTAGGTAGTGGCCTCTGGCTTCGATCAGGCACGGCGTGAAGCTCGGTCTCATGAGATCGCCTACCCAGCAGCTCGTGGACTGCTCGTGGACTGGCGGCCAAGATGCACTGCCAGGCTAATGGTCCGGGAGTGCCCAACTTTCTCTGGATGCCCAGAGCTTCCCTGATCGGCAACGGCTCCGACCACTGGAGACCACTGGACTCTTTCTGCAGACTTCTTCATCGTCACAAACCAAACTCTGATGGAATCCAATTCCCAGACCCCCTGAAGTGGTGAAGAAGCCATCGTTCAAGGTTCCCGGAGATGCCAAGAGTCTGTTCGTATCGAAGGCCCTTGTCCAGCGCATCCTTTACCGTCGGTCCATTGCTGATGGCAACCGCGCCTTCGCTCATACGGTGCGCTCTACGTTCGCATCCACGCAACTGGAAGGACAGCTCTGCGCACAAGATTCCCGAACCGTGCAGAATCGGCCAAGACAAGTTGGGACCCAAATCTTTGCTTGCCAAGCACACAGATGCAAAGCCCGTGCTTCCTGCCAAGACCGTGGGACGAGATTTCGGGGTCCCCCACGGGAAATTGAAACAACTTCACCTGGATTTTCTTACGGAGGCGGTGCACCTTTGACGTTCGTGGAGTTGCAGCACGTTTCATCACTCATCGGGTTCGGGCGGGAGTCCTTCCGGAGGACATCTGACACACAGCCCATAAAGGCACACAGCCGCGAAGGTTCGATGGACTCAGGATGCATGAAACCCCGAAACGTCGAACCGCACCACTCGCCAATGGGACTTTGTGCCCTGATGCCTGCCGACGATCGGGCTCTTGCCGGGCCAGTGCCAAACCGCCCTCGGCAAAGGCTAGCGCCTGCAATGGCTTGAGAGATCATGAGACCCCAAGTCTCCAATTCCAAGGAAACAAAAACTTCAAGTGCTTTGGGCTATCAATTTTCGAGGGTCCTGACACTCAGACCCTATGTCCGAAAGGATGGATGTGATCTGCCTCTCACCTAACCAGGTCTCCTCGACATTTATCCTCTGCCATTAAACGACCCCTCCCTGCCTCACCCGGGTCGTTCAGGGCCAGGGAGGCAGTCGCCAACACGAAATGGGCCTTCACCTCACAGATCTGACAAAACCTCTGCAGTGTCAGTGGGGTCGGCTCTGGCTGAGACGCCACGAGGTGAAAATGCGGAAACCTAAATTAAACCTTACACAAAACTCAAATTATTGTTACAAGGAAGCTGAATTACATATGGGCCCCATCAACCCTAACAAACCCCAGGGCCCATATCATTCAGCTTGCAAGGATTGCTGGCTCTGAATCGCGTCCGACCCCTCCGAATCCTACCAACAACCCAGCCGCCAACGTCCTCCTACCCCTCATTTTGGCCTGGTTCGCTGCATCCCCGAGCTCTGCGAAGGTATCCAGCGCCCGCTTCGCGGCCGCGCGGGCCTGTGCGGGGGGTACTGTGAAATCAGGGCTATTGTTCCAGTCGGCAAAGACCTTAGTCACTAGTCTGTTGAGAAAAGGCAAGCGAGGGAAAGCGGTTGGAAAAGAACACAGTGAAACCGATGGAAAGAAATGCGACTAATCTCTTCAATATCGCAATGTAGTCGCCGCCAGCAAGTGTCCAAATAGCAAGTCATGGGCAGGTATTCTTGCCCCCACCCACCGTCCAGCTTGGCAGCACGAGCCCACAAAAGCACACATCCTCCTGAGGTGCTCCTCTCGGCATGACGCTTACCATGCTGGATCCGGTCCGCGGATAATTAGCGGGAAAGTCCAGCCGGAAGAAGTTCCGTCATGAGGAGACCCGCAGTCTTTTCCCAACTCTTAGGTGCGCAGAACTTCTGAATGTCGAGCTCTTCACATTTTCAGCACATTAGCAAATCTTCGTGGCAGCCCATGCCGCAGGAAATATCTTGTTAATTAATGGCCGATGAATGCGGTATTGCCAACCTCGTTCAATTTTGTTCGGCTGATAGACGCACGGATCTGTGGCAACCGTTGGAGTGAAGGCAAGAAGTTTCAGCTTCAACCACATCTTTTCGTCCATCCTTTCGTTCCCCGTTGTGCAGAAGAGCCATCGTTGACGGACAGGAAACCACTCATGCTCTAAAGCTTCGAGCACCGCAGTTGAATCTGCTGGTGTCTGCAAATCCTCCTCACCTGCGATGTGCTGTCAGGCGCTCGTTGGCGATCAAGTGCAAATGCTGGCTCCTCTTGCCCACGCCGCCGACAGCATCTATCACTGGCCACCCATGTGCGGCGCTAACGTCGTTGTGCGGCAGTGCTTCCTGAAGAACCTGGTCTTCATGGTGAAGTCAATCAAAGACGGGGTCGTCATCCTTCGATGTCACGGAACGGCTGTGCCAAGCTTCGGCTGCTGATGCGTACCGAAAGGCCGAAAAACACTGCAACTGCAAAGGGCTAGCAAGCGGCTCCGCAGCTCAGAGGCCAGTCAAGACGCCTCTGTGGGATTCAAGCCCAGGCACATCCGGTGTAACTCTCACACCTTGCCAACTCGAATGCAATTCAAGGGCATGCCGGTGCTTAAGTATGGTTTGCAGTTTGCGGCACAGGTTGGAGTCTTTCCGACTCAAGAATTCCAGCTTGGACAAAGGCTTAAATTTATGTTAGGTGGAGGACACAGAGCCAGAGGCTTATCAAAACTCATGGGCATGACGGTCCCTTCCCCCCAATGTTTCCGGCCCCTGCCGCTTGCCGAAAGGAAACGTTGGGACAGGAACTCAACCTACACTTTCCAACTTACAGTTGCCATAGAAATCATGATGCTTCGGATGCTATTCTGATCCTCAGACTCCCAACTCCTGCTACCCAAACAGGACGAAAAGCGAGCGAGCTCCGATTCGTTATTGACAAATTCTGCCTACTTCTTGATTGGCCCTCGTTGGTACCCTGAATAGCCGGTAACCGTAGTCTTGCGTATTAGATAAGTCGCACAAAGGAGGAAGCGATTACACGCAATCCTCTTCTAGAGTCCACCTGGTCACGCGTCCACCGCCCAGAGCTGGCTCAAGCAACGCCAACCCGTTGGCCTCCTGCCGCTTCTTGTTGCCACGTCGGCCCTCGGGGATCCTGGACACTGAAAAATGGCGTGACCTAGGCAGTCCTTTCTGGAAGCTGCTAGCAGCTAGGCAACAAAAAGACTGTGGAAGCGCGAAAGCAGCAACGCCTTCGGCTCTCCAACATCGCCTCGGCACCGCAAAGGAGCATCATGGCCTGCAGGTGCTCACGTGAGATTACGCTTCCCTGCTTTTGCCATCGCAGTCTCTGGAATCTGCAGTGCTCAAAACAAGGAAAAACTTTTCGTGTCAGGCCCAGAAAAATCCACGTCCCATCGCTGCAGTCTCTCCTCGCCGCGGCGGTCGCCCTTCTCCCGAAAGAAGGCCAGCTCCTCGTTTGCGCGCTTTTCGGCCTTGCCGCAGTGAGCTATTTCAAACTAGACCGGAGGCAGCCACTTCGAGCCTACAAATCAAGGATGCAAAGATTTTCGGGAAGCAAGTTCTAGTTAAGTTTGGTTGAGTTTCACAGAAGCTCAGGTTCTTGCCTAAGCCGAACCCTACGTGCCCATGCCGCACCTTTATCTTGCGTTGGATTATGTTGGATTCACCCTAGCTAGACCATGCTACACCACTGCCGCAGCAGCGCAGACATTGCAAGCGCAGTTCGGGCCTGAACTTCCAGTACTATAAAATAAACTCACAGGCACCAAGCCGAAACCCCAAACTAAAGACGCATGCCAGCGAGTCGTCGCCTCGACGAGTATAGCCTTTTTCTCTGCCCCATCCTCGCAAACAGAGCACTTGGGGATCGAGGGCTCGGGAAAAACTATCATTAGTTCCTGTATGCTCTTAGTTCGGCTTCAGAGGTCCTTGTAACGAGGCTGCTGCGCCTGCACTCGGCAGCAGTTGACTATGACTCGCAGCCTGCAGCGAAAGAACATCCATTCCGCGAAGTGCGTGCTCTCAAGTAGTGCCAGGTATGCTGTGTGCCTGCACAAGCGACCCTGCGAGCGTTCCAACACGCGGGAGAAAAATGCCCTTGCGTTCTAAAGTTCTGAAGCACACATAAGGCAAACCTGCGCGATTGCGCTTCACATCGTGACTGAGAGGCTCGCATCGGTCTTTGCGACTGGGCCGTGGATCCCGAAATCTTTCAACTTAAATCTGTTCAAGACGGGCTCTCTTGTGTTTGTCCCATTACAGCGTTACTTCACTTCCGGCAAGTTCCAAGTCAATGACGATCACGTTATGTCTGCATCTGCTACGACACTTGCTAGTTTGCATGCAATTCAGCTGCAAGCTCCCCCACTCGTTCTGCTCGGCGGCATGCTGCTCTACAACCACCATGCTGAGGTTCGTGCGCATCCGCTGAAACCTCTCAGCATGCACGAGCTGGACTTTCAAAGACCACAGTTGAAGCCTGCAAGGCTCATCCCACTCGCTAAGGCAAATGCCTTTCCAGGCCAAGCAATCCACTCAACCGGAGAACCCTGAGGCGAAACTAAACGAACCAACACCACCTTCTAATCCACGAGCAGACACACAGAAACTCAAAGAGAGAGAGAGAGAAAGACAGACACGCGCACACACACACACACACGCACGGGCGCGCGCGCAACCAAACAAACGAACAAACAAACAGCACAGACAAACAAACACTGAAAAAGTAGCTGAGGTCACCCAAGTCAAAAGCACAAGTAGCCTGGACTCGAGCAGGAAGTCTTCTTTGCAAACCCAGTAGCCACTCTTGAGCCAGCCAGATTGGCAATGTTTGGGATGCTCTAGGTACCCGTGTCTGCGTTACTCACAAGCGAAGAGACAAGCAATCAAGCTAGCAAGAAAGGCAAGCAGACAAACAAGCAAGCAAACACGCCAGAACAAAACGACAGCAAACAACACAACACAGACTGACTGAATACTCTGAATGACTGTCTTACTGGAAACTGGCTAACAAACAAACTCACTGACGGACGGACGGACTGAGTAGCCAACTAACTGACTGACTCGCCGACTGACTGAGTGAGCAGCTACCTATATCTGACGAACTATGTGACGAAATGACTGACTGACTGACTGACTAAGGGACTCACTAGCCGAGTACCGACCTACCTACCGACCGACCGACCGAACGAACCAAAAAAACATACAACTCCTCAGCTTAACCAAACAACTCAACAGCGAGTTGTAAGCATGTGACGTCACACAGACAGGGGGCCTGTCCCTGATCCCAACAATTATATGCTAGACGTCTCTATACTCTCAGCTGTGTTTCCGCTGCCTGCGGCTTTAGCTTGGCTCACTGCATTTACAACTTCGGCTTCTGAATCATATAACTTCAGGGCATGGCTGAAGCTAGATTCCAGGCAATGGCTTCCAGGCAGCTTCGTAGCTGTAGAGTTGGTGCAAAGATACTCTGGAATTTTGAAGGAAGTACAGTACTGGGAATCTGCGGAACTACATTTGTCGGCGTCTTCTTTGTTGCATGGCCATTGTCAGCGATTACACGATGGAGACCTTCATGTATTGTGCTTCGGCGGGGGCAGAAAGCTCTCTCATTTCAAATTTCCGTGTGGAAGCGAACGACACCTTTTCGCTTCCTGAAGACATGCAAACCCGCTTGGGCTGCATTGTTTGGTGGTCCATCCCAAACGCAATGCTTTGTATGTAGCACCACAGGCACGTTCCCCCTTCTATGGGAAGACTCAGTGAGTAGCGACAACAGAAACTGCTGCACTCCCCCGACTCGCTCCTCCAATGCGGCTGTTCCAAGCTTCGTCTCAGCATGTCCCACGCGTTGCCAGGCTTCGGCATAACCTTTATAGACAAACCTCTAGGCCCTACAGGACATTCCCGGATGCGAGGGGTCGCGAATCGTGATCCTGTGAAAATACGCTTGCGACAGCCGTCCTCCGCTGGGTTAGCCAAAGCACCTCCACAGACCAAATGTTTCCAAGACCGAAGCACCTCCTCCCCAACGTGTTCCGCTCTGCACCCACGTCAAGGGCCTAAATCGCCAAGCCGGCCCATTGCGACAGACGGCAAGAAGACGGCAGACGTGAAACGAAAGCTGGAAGATAGCTTTGCCAATTGCCAATCAAACCCAAAACCATGCCGGACAGAGCAGAGAGACGCCCAAATCTGCTGAAGGCCTCAAGGTCTCCGCGGGCCCGCGCCGCGCTCAGCGCCTCTTCTGCCAAACGCCTCGCCTCAGTGTGAGCTTCAGGACGGCTCCCCCACCCCTGGATTTTGGCTTCCAAGAATATTAGCCGTCTCAGCCCCCACCACCGGAGATTCTGACTGCGGAAAGTGGCCCGGCGGAGATGCGAAGCGTTTACAGTTACAACTTTTGCATGCCCTGTCAGAGCCTTCTGGTGTTCCTCCGAGGCCAGGAGGAGGTCCTCTGCCTGCCCAGCACAGCTGATCTTGGCCGTAAACGTTGGAATCTCAAGCTCCCGATCCCGTGCCTGGGCCAGCTGAGGATCCGACACCCCCATGGCATCTAAAGTGACCTGAAGCTCAGGTGTTCAAATCATGCTGACCGTTTCCACGTCGTGAAGGCGCCAATGCACAGCCACGCCTTCTCATAAACCGCGTCATCTGCAAATCACAAGAGGCCGCAGAGCCGAAACGCCGTGCGGAGGTGGAGGGTCTCTTGGGAGAGCTTGGACTGAGACCCAATGGTGCACGCCGTGTCATGAATTCCCATGGATGCTGCCTCGTGTCTCAACCAAACACACCGTCGTTCAAACGAATTCTCGAACCCGACGGGCGCAAGCCCGGAAAAAAGATGCCCTCAGTACCTGCTAGCGCCTCCGTGGCACTCCTTGGTGATCCAGCAGAGTCCAGCAGGCATTGATTTCACAGCTGTGTTGGTATCACAGTACACTCAACCGCATACCCATCCAAAGCCATTCTGACATGAGCTGGCTGCATCGTGCCTGCGATCAAGGATGTTCAACTCCACAGCCCCTATCACAACAACGGCTACAACACCGTGAATTAGAGGGCGAGAAGACCCTGATGTGCGAGGTTGTGATCGAATCTGAGCTCCCCTTTCAGCGAGTGGCTCCATGGCGGCTGCCGACTCACGGGATGCTCGGAGGTCGCGCACGACGCCATGCCTCAAAGTAGGGATGAGGGAAGCGAGGGGCAAACTCTGCGCAGACCGGGACCGAGAGGAGGGACCCAATCAAAGATGAGCTAGATACATCAAGCAGGCCATCAAGCTAGGCAAGAAAAGGTCTCCAATTTGCTCATCTTGACGCCTCGGGATGACACCGCCGCAAGAGCGAGTGGCGCGTGCAGTAGCGGGACTTTTGGGACTCCGGCTGGCTGTTGCTACGCTGTGCCGACCATGGCCTCGCGAGGCGAGTCTCCTGGCAATCATGGCACCGTGCTGTATTTTTATGGTTGCATCATGCATTTTGGGATCCGCTCTGATCCGCTTTCGCCTGCAAGCTGAGCCGCTATAGACAACCCTTCAGATGGAGCCTGCTGCGCCGGGCGCGCACCGGCACTCGCCTCGAGAGTTGTTTGGTTGCTAGGGTGTGGCCGGGAAACGCGCACGAGATACTAGTTACCAGTACAAAGAGAGTGCACATCATCTGTTCTGTCACCGTTCTTCAGGCCGCCACAGGACGTACTCGCGGCGCATCGGGTGGACGTGGCAAGAGCCTCGCGGCAATCAAAGGTAGGAGCAGCGCATAGCGGCGCCAAGTAGCTGCAAGAGCCAGCAGCTAGAAGTTTGGAATCACCTATATGCCTAGACTACTAGTTAAGGTGGATGCCCATTGAAGGATGCAAAGGTTGCTAAACCACTATCCGACTCGACTGGGGATGATTGCATGGTCCAAGCACCGCACTTTCCATTGGCCAGACTGCTGTGATACTGCGCTGCCGCCAAGTGGACACGGGCCTAGTGCAGATGTCGGAAGCATAAGTTCAGTGGCGCAGCAGAGCAATCTATGATTCACATGAGTGTACTCCCTTGACACGGTCTTGTACACAGTCTTCCCATCTGACATGGACAATGGTTTTTGGAGCCGACCTCCACCAGGTCAATGTCCCCCACCACAGGCCTGGTGGTTTCCACCTGCGAACAAGCTTTTTAGAGTGGAATGCTCATAGCATGCTTCTCTGCCGTCGAATTTCGACTGCTGTACGAGACGTTACACTGCGAGCGGGTCTTCCGACCTACAGCCTCCCGGCATCTGGAAGGGGCCTGCTGCATGTCGTCCATCCTCCAGAAAGCATGAAGTTTCAGACGGATAGAGCACTGCAAGAGTGATCAGCTTGATTTGTTCAAGGTCTCCAGCACTTCCACTCGGACCCAAGTTCTGTAGGATTCAGGCTCAACGCATCTCATCTTGATCGATGCACGCGCACACGCACACACCCTCGCTCACTGTCTCTCCCTCAGCATGTTGCGAAAATAAGGAACACACTCTCTCGCTCTGTCTTTCTTTCTGCAAGGTTGAGGGGAGGTTCCGCCCTTTCTTTGCACATTCGCGCACCCCCTTGTTAGGAATGGCGAATAAGAAGCAAAAATCTAAGCCTACCGCCCCGGCGACGAAGGAAACCTTTACAATTTTACAAACGACTCTCTCTCTTGATTGCTTGCTCCAAGCTCTGGGGCCCGGCCCCCTCTCCCTCTCCCTCTGTCTGTCTCTCCCTCTCTCTTTCTTTCAGCAGGGCTATGGGCAGAAGGGTTTCCCCCTCTGCCCGCGCGCCAGTGGCGCCCCCGACTGGCGCGGAGGGAAAGGAACAGCGCTCACCACATCAAGGCCAATTTTAGCCTCCTGTTTTAGTGGTTCACACGATGAGGGCTAGTTTCGCCTTCGCACTGATTGACCGCGGGTACAACATGAAATCCAACTGCGCAGACCCTAACATCAGACCGATCAGGCGGAGGCTCAAATGTCGCT